TAGTAGAGATGGAGTTTCACCATGTTGGCCAGGCTGGTCTCAAACTCCTGACCTCAGATGATCTGCCTACCTCGGCCTCCCAAAGTGCTGGGATTACAGGCGTGAGCCCCCGCACCTGGCCAAGAATGATTATTTTTAAGATTGAACTGAGATTGTGTCACTTCTTAACTCAAACTGCCCAGTGTCCTCCCATTTCGCTCACAATAAAAGCCTTTGCAATGGCCTAAAGGTAGGATGATTATATTCTTTAATGTTTAAACTGGAACTTAATTTTGAGAGTAAAAGTGGCACTATTAATAATACAGCCATGACAGCAGGCATAAATTTGAACTGGCCTGGGTAACTAGTGTGTGTGGTCACCCCACTTGTCAGAGATGTTGTGATCTGGCCTTGGCTGTCCCTCCGATCATTCTCCTACCACGCTCTCCCTCATTTTATTCTCTGCCACCACGCTTGCCTCCTTCAAATTCCATGCACGTGACAGGCATGTTTGTGCGTCAGGAACACTCGTCCCCAGTAGCTGGCATGGCATGATTGCTCCCCTGTCCTGTAGAGACACCCTGTATAAAACAGCACCTCCCCACCATCACTCTTCCCTGGTGCTGCTTTGTTTTTTGTTTGGGTTTTTTGTTTTGTTGTTTTGTTGTTGTCACCTGACGTATTACTGCCCTGTTACTACCACCGTCTACCCCAAACGCAGGCTGCATGGGAGAAGGACTTTGTTTAGCTTACCACTGTGTCCCAGCACTTAAAACAGTGCCTCAAATACAGTTCATTATAGAATCTTGCTGGTGGGTACGGGGTGTTCGTGTACAATTTCTTCAACTTCGTTACAGTCACGCGTCGCATGACTGCACGAGAAATGCATCCTGAGAAGTGCGTAGCTGGGCAATTTCATGGCTGTGCAAACACCATAGGGTGCACTCACACAAACCCAGATGGTGGAGACTAGTACACATCTGGGCTGTGTGGTCCAGCCTGTTGCTCCCAGGCTGCAAACCTGTGCAGCGTGTGACTGTCCTGAATACGGTAGGCAGTTGTCTCACAATAGTAAGTATTTGTGTATCTAAATATAGAAAAGGTACAGTAAAAATAGAGTATTATAATCTCATGGGACATGCAATCTGTTGATCAAAACATCATAGGTGACACATGACTGTATTCGAGAATTCATAATAAAATGTTAGGGGAAAATTAACTGATTTCATCTTTACAACAACCCCGTGCACAGGATGCATAGGCAGGCAGCATCAGCAACATCCTGGAGGTTGTCAGAAACGCAGGATCGGCTGGACGAGGTGGCCCACGCCTGTAATCCCAGCACTTTGGGAGTCCAAGGCAGACGGATCACCTGAGGTCAGAGGTTCGAGACCAACCTGGCCAACATGGTGAAAACCCCATCTCTACTAAAAATATAAAAATTAGCCAGGTGTGGTGGTGCATGCCTGTAGTCGCCGCTACTTGGGAGGCTGAGGCAGGAAAATCACTTGAACCCGGGAGGCGGAGGTTGCAGTGAGCCAAGATTGTGCCACTGCACTCCAGCCTGGACGACAGAGTAAGACTTCATCTTACAAAAAAAAAAAAACCTGCAGGATTTTGGGTCCACCCGGTATCTACCAACTCACTTTTTCCTTTCCTTTCTCCTCTTGGTGGCAGCTTCAGAATCTCTGTGGGCCCAAGGATCCAAGGGATTCTTATACGCACTAAAGTTTGAGATGCACTCTTACTTTTTTTTTTTTTTTTTTTTTTTGAGACGGAGTCTTGCTCTGTCGCCCGAGCTGGAGTGCAGTGGCCAGATCTCAGCTCACTGCAAGCTCCGCCTCCTGGGTTCACGCCATTCTCCTGCCTCAGCTTCCCGAGTAGCTGGGACTACAGGCACCCGCCACCTCGCCCGGCTAGTTTTTTGTATTTTTTTAGTAGAGACGGGGTTTCACCATGTTAGCTAGGATGGTCTTGATCTTGTGACCTCGTGATCCGCCCGTCTCGGCCTCCCAAAGTGCTGGGATTACAGGCTTGAGCCACCGCGCCCGGCCAGAGATGCACTCTTACTTTTATCCCCATTTTATGATGGGGACAGTGAGACACAAATTAAAACTTAAGGTCACAGCTAGAAAACGGTGGTGTTGGGATTGGATGTACTCTTAAAGCTGAGTGGTAGAGGAGTGCCCAGCGATCCTCCTGTAACTTACACATAGAATGAGAAGCAAGCAGGTTCTGTCTAGAATGTTGGAATGGGTGCCCCATCTGCCATTGACATCTAACATGAGACTTTAAGTGGTTTTAAGCTATGCTGTTGGTTATGGGGTTCATTCTCATTTTCAACCTGTCGCTTTTTTCCTGTTTATTTTCGGCAGAAACTTGGGAACCGTGGGTGCTGTTGCCTTGGACTCCAAAGGGAATGTAGCCTATGCAACCTCCACAGGGGGTATCATTAATAAAATGGTCGGCCGAGTTGGGGACACACCGTGTGTAGGTAGGACCGAGGGATGGCTCCTGCCTCTTCTCCTTTTCTCCCACCCTCAGGCTCTCCTCATTCTCTATTCCCTGCCCCTCTCCCTTTCTTGATGCGTTGCCTTTCTGCTCTTGGTGCGGCTCCAGGATGTCTGGGAGTGACAACGGGGTTGGAAGGGGTTATCCGGGGTGCTGCCTTGAGAGGGTGTTTGTATCTGGCGCCACTGTTTTTCCTAGATTGCATGCGTTTTTGGAACAACCTGGGGAGAGAAGTGAAGACAGGATGCTAACGTTGCCCCCAGTCTACCCTGTAGTGATTCTGTCTTCTCTTTAGCCGCAGTTTTAGGATCTGCAGACTTACTTGAGTAAGGCTTACTCCCAAGACATGGGCAATCTGAGAAATCTGAGACTGCAGTTATTAGATTTGAGCAGCCTGAAAGTGACATACTTCTACAGACACATTACAGATTGAGATGTCGTTTACATTAACGGGGAAGCGCGTCGTCTCGTTCCCGGGAGCGGGTGAGAGGCGGGGCCGGGGGGCTGTATGTTTCACTCCGTGCACTTTCACACTTTTCATGCAGGAATCCTCATGAACCCCTGCAGGTGACTGAAGATTTGAGAAGCAGCTAAGTTGTTCCATCTGCCCTAAAGAGCAGCTTATTCTTTCAGAGGAAAATTAGCCTTACCTTCCCTTTTTAATATGTTGCCCTAGTCTTTAGTAATAGTCTACACTCTTGACAATTCTTGACACCCTTTTTCCGTCATGAACTCAGAGACCGTGGAAGCTTTCTTAAAGAGTAGGGGCTTGGCAACTCCTCTCCTCCTTGGTGTATCACCCAAGAGATGTGAAGTAGTCTACCTTTCTTTCTCCTTGGCAAAAATCCCACCAAACTATGCCTGGTCAGTAGTGCAGCTTGCTTCAGCTGGGTTCAGACCAGGCCACGGGGCCACTCCAGGTTAGATCCTAGAAATTAATTTTAAATTGAGTTACAGTGGTAAATCTTGACAAGAAATGGCATAAGCTAAATTCTCAGAAGTCTTTGTCCAGCCGTGAGCACCAGGTATTCTCTGCCTGGCCTTCTGAGGAGCCTCTCCAAGGAGCCCTGCCGCTGGCCAGGCCCCCGCCTGGACAGTCAGCAAGGACAGTGCTAGGCACATCAGTGGCCACCTCAGGCAATGCACTTGTCCTGAGAAATGCATGTGGCGGGGAGGACACCTTCACATACCCAATGCCTGTGCCAGGATCGCCCTTGGAGACACCTGGCCTTCTGTGGTCCTAGAGTAACTGGAAAGTAAGCAAAGACTTGGCTGCTTCCAAATATTAGGGCACATTGACACCATGGGACCTGGTCAGTTAATTCCCCAGCAGAAGCTTATAAGAAAAAGTAAAGGCGCCTCCTCCCACTGCAGCAGTTCATTTGCTGGCCAATGTCAGCTCCCTCCCGAGCCAGAGCCAGGGGTTCTCTGCCTTTGAGAACCTGTGGGGCCTTGTGACAGTCCAGTGCAACATCTCAGCTTCTGAGTCCTCGCCCATGTCCAGCATCAGTAAGCAAGGCACATATCAATCATCTATGCTTCTGTATCAACTGCGGGAGGGTAAAGGCAAACCCTTCCAAGGCTAAAGGACTCGCAGGCTGGTAGCAGTGTGTGAACAGATACAAGAATGACTTAGAGAAAGCTATAAGGTTCTTTAATCCAAGACCAAAATAGGGAAGAAATCTTACCAAAGTAGCTTTCACTCCAGACCCCCACTTAAGGGGATAGCCCAGAATAGTTCCCTCAGGTCCAGTTATGCCCACCCTCAACAAATGCAACTGCCACCCATCGGACAGTGTGCATGGCTGTTAGGTTGTGGGTACACGTTTTCCCCAAATCTCTGGAACGTGATGTGGCCTTGCTAGAGATCCATGTAATGCAGCCATGCTGTTTCCTCCTTCATAGTAGGTGGGGCATGAGGAGGAGACAGGGAGAGGGTGGCTTCATTGAGCAAAAAGGAATGGCTATGCTTTGGGGCCAAGGAGACGCTGTCCTGCTGTAGCTGCTCTGTGAAAGGTCCGGCCTGCCCCTCTGAGGCTTCCTTTATCCTCCTAAATTCTGGGGCATCTACATGATGCTTTCTAGTCCACCTTTGCATCCGCGGATCATGGCTACTAACCTGACCTTTGTCTGTACTTGAGCACCCTTCGTGATTTAACTTTTATGTAGTGTCTGACTTCTAATATGGATTTGAATTTCTTGACTGTTACTGCTCAGAACAATCACCCTTTTTGAGCAGGAGCTGGAGGTTATGCTGACAATGACATCGGAGCCATCTCAACCACAGGGCATGGGGAAAGCATCCTGAAGGTGAACCTGGCCAGACTCACCCTGTTCCACATAGAACAAGGTACACAGACCACAGGACAAGTAACATAATTTGTGAAGATAAGTGCATAGAAGGTATTTGATAAGTAAGCGTAGGAAGTGTAGGAAACCCTTTCCTGTTGGCTACAATGTTGCTTTCAGGTCCTTAACACCTTGTTTTGACTTTCCGCCTTCCCTTAGGTCTGGAATGGGAGAGCATTGAGTACTGTTACCTTCCCCATCTCAGGAGAAGGGGCCAGTAAAGAGACCCTGAGCCTGGGTGTGGGAGGGAAGACGCCTCCACTTGGGCTAATGCTAGGGCTCTGTCTCAGGGCAAGGAGGTGAGGACCCTCCTTTTAAGCGTTCAGGTGTTCATTTACCAAAAATCCTTGCTAGCTCACTTGGGCATTTCAAATGGCAAATGATTTTCCCGTGAGATTCCTTTCAGTAACGTGTGTTGTTTCTCAACCCCTCCTTGTTTTCAGGAAAGACGGTAGAAGAGGCTGCGGACCTATCGTTGGGTTATATGAAGTCAAGGGTTAAAGGTTTAGGTGGCCTCATCGTGGTTAGCAAAACAGGAGACTGGGTGGCAAAGTGGACCTCCACCTCCATGCCCTGGGCAGCCGCCAAGGACGGCAAGCTGCACTTCGGAATTGATCCTGACGATACTGCTATCACGGACCTGCCCTAAGCCCCTGGAAGATTGTATTCCAGATGCTAGCTGAGACGTCAAGTACGGTCTCCTCATGAGACGTAGCCTAATCAATTAGATCTAGAATTGGAAAAATTGTCCCGTCTGTCACTTGTTTTGTTGCCTTAATAAGCATCTGAATGTTTGGTTGAGGGGCGGGTTCTGAAGCGATGAGAGAAATGCCTGTTTTAGGAGGATTGCTCGAGCCTGGGAGGTCAAAGCTGAGGTGAGCCATGATTACTCCACTGCACTCCAGCCTGGGCAACAGAGTGAGACCCTGTATCCAAAAAAAGGAAAAAAAGAAAGCAGCAGCATGATCCTGACACCACAGATGTGGGAGACCCACAGCATGCAGACACTGTGGGCTGAAAGGTGGGAAGGGAGAGGCCAATGGAGGTGGAGGCGTTTGAAAGTGAGACAGCAGCAGCAGGACTGGTGGGCCAAGTCCAAGTGACCCTCAGAATGTTGCACAAGAGCATCGGGGGAAAGAACCAGAATCCTTTAAGGGAAATGTTCTTCATGTACAAGAGAGTAAAGGGATTTTTCTAAGAAGGTTCAGCTCTCTGACTTACCTGGACATTTCTAGATACTTCCAAAGGACCCTGTGGGAACCCATAGCTCCCTAACCTGGAGATGGGAGGTCGTAATGGAGATGCTGTGGGATTTCTTGAAGTTTCTTGGGTTCACAGAGAAGCCCCCTCACTTGTTGTTCTCCCGCGAGCCAGCCTCCACCTGCCAAAGACGCTCTGGTCCTCATATAGTGAGTAGTGGGGCTCACGGCCTCTCCAACAGCAGAGAGGAGCTGACTGCTGTAGAGCTGGCCCCATGTCTTCCTGAGTCCTCACCCTGTCCAGTGCTTTGAGATTCTTCCCACCTCCCCATCCCCCCAGCTGGATCGGGCGCTGTGCAGTGTGGTCAGCGTGGTGAAGAAAGTCGTTTCTTTGGTGGACAATATTCTCCTTTATCTCTCATTACACTGGAAATGTTACTTCTGCTGTATCGTCCATGCTCAAGGTTTTAGTCTGTCAGGGCTCACCTTCTCGCTGGAAAGAATTTGCTTAACTTGACATTCCATGTGCCGCTAATAAAATCTATTTTGAAAGAATAGGGGTGTGGTTGGGAGTCACTGTTGACAAAGACCAGAATGTACACGAGCTGTCCCCTTGGTCTCAGTTCCGACAGGTGTACCACAGAGACCTGGAGATGAGGATGGTGTGGGGGGTGATATGTGCCGCCTTGTGGAGTACTCGTGAGTTTTCCAGAAGAACTGAACTTTTTCTGAGTGGGTCAAGGAAGAAGTCAAACCATGATAGGGTTTATGGCTCAGTCTTCCAGCACTTTGCCAGCATCCATCCCAGACAGAGGTGCACAGTAAAAACCTCAACATGCAACAGCTCCCCGTTTAGAAACAAGAATTTTATTAGGAGGTGCATTAGTTGAGGATTGCCACAACACGATTCCACAGACTAAGTGGCTTAACCAACAGAAATGTATTAATATTTTCTCACCTCTGGAGGCTGAAAGTCCAACATCAAGGTGTTGGCCGCGTTGGTTTCTCCCGAGGTCTCTCTCCGTGGTTTGTCTAACAGCTGGCCATCTTCTCGCTGTGTCCTCACGTGGTCTTTCCTCGACATGCACAGCCCTGCCGTCTGTCTCTGCATGTCCTAATCCCCTCTTCCCATGAGGACACCCATCATGTTAGATTAAGGTCCACCCTAATGACCTCATTTAGCCTTCATCACCTCTTTAAAGGCTCTGTCTCCAAATACACTCACATGCTGAGGTGCTGGGGGTCAGGCTTTCAGCATGTGAATTTGGGAGGGGACAGAATTCAGCCCATAACAGGAGGCAAAACAGAATCATATTGGGGTTTGGAAAGGGGAGACCCTTTGGAGAAGACAACAATTGCAAAGTAGATAGAAAAAAGGAAGGAGGGGCCGGGCGCGGTGGCTCATGCCTGTAATCCCAGCACTTTGGGAGGCTGAGGCGGGTGGATCACGAGGTCAGGAGATTGAGACCATCCTGGCTAACGTGGTGAAACCCCGTCTCTACTAAAAATACAAAAAATTAGCTGGGCGTGGTGGCAGGCACCTGTAGTCCCAGCTACTCAGGAGGCTGAGGCAGGAGAATGGCTTGAACCCGGGAGGCGGAGTTTGCAGTGAGCGGAGATCACACCACTGCACTCCAGCCTGGGTGACAGAGTGAGACTGTCTCAAAAAAAAAAAAAAATAAGGAAAAAAGAAACAAGGAAGGAGGAAGCTGGGGGATAGGGAGGCCAGTTGAAAGATCTGGTTTTGAGCTTGTCTCATCAGTTCTCCAGTTCACAAGGAAATTGGCTCTAGTTACTAAAGACTACCGTAGGCTCAGCATGTGGCCACTTGGCCTCTTTGGCTGGGCAGCCCAGGTACTAGGGTACGTACGGGGTCGTCAGCCCCTTTGTGCAAAGCCAAAGTGTGTATTTTTGCCCTCAGACCTGAGTTGTGCCAAAAGCCACCTCCACCAGCCTGGGAGTTCTGTAAGTGGAGACCACGTACAGTTAGTTCTTGCTTTTGCCCCACAGCTTGTCCATGGACTGCTCATTGTCAAACAGAGAAATGAGCCTGATAGCATCTGAAAGGGGAAGACAATCTTGTTATCACTTCTGTGCCACAAGAGGGCAGCAAACTGTAAACTATCCATGGCTTCAGCCGCCTAAAGGGAAGGTACTGTTATCTGGATCAGAGCAGTCTACTTAGAAAATTTGGAACCAAAAGAACATTCTTCTTCCTGACCTTCATTTTCGTCCCAATACTACAATTTATTTTAGAGCAGAACTGTCCAAAACACAAACGCTAGCAAATGGCCCGAAGAACCCATCCAGATCAACAATGGAAGCTTGCTGTGCCCTGGGCGCTGCCAGATGCCGGATGCCAGATCCCACGATGAGCAAGCTCTGGCAGCCAGGCCCTGCCCCCACTTGCTCCTTCCAGCCGGGAAGACAGATACATCGTCATGTGACTGCACCCACCAAAATGGTAGGATAATAAGGAGCACAAGACGGGCCCCGAGCCAAGGGCAAGTGTCCCCAAGGAAGAGATGCTGCAGTCAGAACTCAGGCCCACTGCTGGGCTGCAGGGAAGAATCCTGGGTAAGGAAGGGCCTTGACCTTGTAGCTGTTGCATAATACACATTTTTCTCAAATAATATTCCTAGACTTCTTCCTCTCTAGCTTGAGGGATTGTAAACTCTGAGAGCAAAAGAAGGAGTGGGGCGCATGTTAGTCCCCTTCAGTGTCCTGTTTTCAGGGGTGATGGTGTGTGGGGAAGGCTGGGAAGGGACACTCATTCTTCCCGCCCCCACCTGCTCCTCTGAAGTCCTCCCATCAGCCTTCATCTTTGCACAAAACCATCACTGCATTTGGATTTTGTAACTGTTTCTTTTTTTTTTTTTTTTTTTTTGAGACAGAATCTCACTCTGTCGCCCAGGCTGGAGTGCAGTGGCGCGATCTTGGCTCACTGCAACCTCCATCTCCTGGGTTCAAGCGATTCTCCTGCCTCAGCCTCCCGAGTAGCTGGGACCACAGGCACGCGCCACCACACCCGGCTAATTTTTGTATTTTTAGTAGAGATGGGGTTTCACCATGTTGGTCAGGATAGTCTCGATTTCTTGACCTTGTGATCCACCCACCTCAGCCTCCCAAAGTGCTGGGATTTCAGGTGTGAGCCCCGCGCCCGGACAAGAATAATGAAAAATTTAAAGCACATGTGAGGAAACATCAACAACAAAAAATAGGGGATGCTGGGCATGGTGGCTCATGCCTGTAATCCCAGCACTTTGGGAGGCTGAAGTGGGCAGATCTCCTGAGGTCAGGAGTTCAAGACCAGCCTGACCAACATGTAGAAACGCCGTCTCTACTAAAAATATAAAATTAACTGGGCGTGGTGGCCTGTAATCCCAGCTGCTGGGGAGGCTGAGGCAGGAGAATCGCTTGAACCTGGGAGGTGGAGGTTGTGGTGAGCCAAGATCGCGCCATTGCACTCCAGCCTGGGCAATAAGAATGAAACTCCGTCTCAAAAAAAAAAGGGGGGAAAAATTTCCTATCAGCCAGTGAATATCACCATTAAGATCTTACTGTATGTTCTTCTAGATCTTTTTCTGGGTGTGTATATGCATAATTATTTTTTCAAACGTGAGACCATACCATATATGTTTCAGTTAACACTCTCCACCTTTCCTTGCCAAGAAATGTTCACCTTACCTAATATTTGGTCAATATTCAAATTTCCCCAGTTTTCTCAAAAATTGTCTTTTTAGCAGAATTCAAATCCTGCACTTTTCTTACTGGCACTGCTTGCTGGGTAGTTAGCGCCCCGGGCCCCTCAGTGTCACGTCTTCCGCTTGGTCAAGCTGCCCCTCGCTGAGTGAGGGAAGCACCTGGCTGAACACCGTCACAGGCACTGGGGACCAGGCCGACCATTCCAAACAGAAACGTGGACACCCTGCCGCCACAGGAGCCATGCAGCGCTGGCCTGTGGGCTGGGGAGGGTTTGGAAAGGGAAATATGGGTTGTGCCAAAGCACAAGGCCCCACCCAGAAGTTTGGCAAAGGGTGACTTAGAGTGAGAAGAGCAGGTGGGGAGCGAGTCCGCCCTGCGCCACCACCAGGAAAGGATCTGCCCCCACCCTTCCTCAGCGGCCTCTTCCCAGGTCAGTTTCCCTCGTACAAAAAGCGTCTGTGCTCCCTTCCCAGCTCCCCTCGCCTCAGCCTTTCCCACACAGCTAGGAGCCGGAGCTACCGCACTACGTGTTGGCCAAAGGGCCACTTTCAGGAGTGTTTACAAATTAGCTCAGGTGGAGGCCACTCACACCAAATCCGGGAACATTTACCTTGAGCTCAGGATCCCATGGTTCCCCTGTCTTTGAGAACCACGTTCCCCTGGCTACCCAGTGAAGATCCTGGGGGCTTGAACTCCCAAATTCTCCCAACTTTCTATTGAGGCACCAAGTATTTCATCTTTTTTAAAAGTGAGAAACACCAAGGCCAGTTCCCTTCCTCCTCCCATCTGCTCCCCACCCCTCCCCTGGGCCCCCTCCGCCCCAGCTCACTGCAGGCCCGCATGCCTCCCCGGTGACCTCACCCCGGATCTGGCCTTTCTCTGTCAGGCCTCACAATCTTCCCGGCCATCTTTGTTGTCTTATCTCTGGCTCTGGCACAAATATCACACCCTGGATGCCTCATGACTAAAAGTCCATCGCTTTCCCCAAATCCTTTCCCTGTCTTCCCTAGAAATTCCAATATATGGCCGAACGCAGTGACTCACACCTGTAATCTCAGTACTTTGGGAGGCCAAGGCAGGCAGATGACCTGAGGTCAGGAGTTCAGGACCAACCTGGCCAACATGGTGAAACCCCGCGTCTACTAAAAATACAGAATTAGCTGGATGTGGTGGTGTGAAACGCCGTGTCTACTAAAAGTCCAAAATTAACTGAGCGTGGTGGCACACGCCTGTAGTCCCAGCTACTCAGGAGGCTGAGGCAGAAGAATTGCTTGAACCCAGAAGGCCGAGGTTGAAGTGAGCTGGGATCACGCCACTGCACTCCAGCCTGGGTGACAAGAACAAAACTCCATCTCAAAAAAAAACCAATAAAGAGAAAATAAAAGAACTTCCAACATATTTGTCCACTGCTCTCAAGCACAAAGGGTCAGGACTCAGGGCAAGGCACCCTGCAGAACTGAGAATTCTCCCCACACTCGCCTCCTTAGCATTCCCAGCCCAGAGTTCGCACTTGGACTCTGTAGAGAACAGGCAGCCAGTTCGTGTGGTTGCAGATCCGCTGCTGCTGTTCTGCCGGGTGCCCCACCAGTGTGTCTGCACCAGCTCCTTCAGACAGGACGCCTCCATCGTGCCAGCTCTGCAGTGGCCTCCCTGGCAGGGGGCTTCATTTTATTTGAGAGAAAGGGTATCAACACTGCTCCTGTCTCTAACCACCATGGTTACGGCCCTCCTGCCTCCTCCCCAACTCGGCCAGCCCCTGGCCAGGCTCTGCCTGCAGCAGGCTCAGATGGGGAAGGCGTGAGTGTCCTGCTGGCGTGAGCAAGATGCTCCGGTCACCCCTAGGACCCAGCGG